CAGGGCTCAGTCATTGAGATTGTGGACACCTTTAAATACCTGGGGGTCCACCTCAACAACAAAATGGATTGGACTGAAAACACTGATGCCCTGTACAGGAAGGGCCAGAGCTGCCTCCACTTGTTGAGGAGACTGAGGTCCTTTGGTGTGCGGGGGGCACTTCTTCAGACATTTTATGATTCTGTAGTGGCATCTGCAGTTTTTTACGTTGTTGTGGGCTGGCAGGAGGTAGCACGAACAGAAAGAGACTCAACAAGCTGGTCAAGAAAGCTGGGTCTGTCCTGGGCTTACCCCCTGGGTTCCATCGAGGAGGTGGCGGACAGAAGGATGCTAGTAAAACTAACATCCAACATGCATAACCCCTCCCATCCCCTGCACCACACAGTAGAGGCTCTGAACAGTTCCTTTAGCACAAGACTGTTACATCCCCAGTGTAAGAAGGAGCGTTACCGTAGGTCATTCCTCCCCACAGCAATCAGACTGTACAATACATCACTGCAGGGATAAGCTAGGTGAAATTATTAGGGACTATGTAATAATCAACTGAGGTGCAATATTCAAATCCTGGGGTAAAATGCATGGTTAACATGCACATTCTGTTCTTGATCATTCAAATACTTGATTCTCCATTGCTGCTGAAACATTGAAATTTCCCCATTGAGGGATCAATAAAGTACAGTGTAAAGTGTACAGAGTAAAGTGTTGTGTTTTTTTTTTGTTTTGTTTTTTTTTTAAAGTATGACAGACCAACAGGGGAGCGAGTCTTCTCTGGCTGCATGAGCCGTCCTGAGTCACAGATATCCTGGGAACTGTCACACTACTTGTGCACCAGCTGCAGTTTACACAACTAAGACTGATGCCAGACACACAAACAAGTGGCAGATGAACAAGTAGATGAATTAGTGCACGCGACTAATTATTAAACTGCATGCCTGTGCTTTCCTCAAACAAAGCATCGGGCTCTGACAGTCCACAGCTGTGTGGGATAACCTGTACTTGTTGAATATGCATAATACAGTCTTGCAGATGGTGCAAATCTATTATTATTCTTGTGCAATGGTGTTTGATAGCTGATACCGTGGACAAGCTATATGTTTGGGTGTTAATGTTTGTGTGTGTGTTTGTTGTTAATATGAGTTTACCTGAGTGGTGATGATGTGGTGGAAAGCGTGGACATCTCCCAGATATTTGGACAGGATGAGTCTCTCTCCACTCCGACACTCTGACGTGTTACTGATACGAAACAGTGTGTGACCACACACTGGATTAACCTGGGGCGGAAATAAAAAAGGGATAGGAAGGAGTGAGCGTCCACAAAAGGGACAGACAGAAAAAAGAAAGACTTCACACTGATTTGTGCCCTGTTTGTCAAAGAGAGATATCTAACACCAGCTGGGCAGTCTGCAAATATCAGCCTGATGTGCCGTCAACTCAAACTGTGCAGATAACAGAGTGAACAGACTATTAGTTCCTGTCCTGTCTGTGCTCAAACTTATCATTAAAGTGGATGTACTGGACTTGGTTGGAGCATTTGCACTAGGGCTGCACGATAAATCATTTTGTGAGTGTGATTTAAATCTCAGTGTATGATCTCAATCTCATGTGACAATGATTCTGCCGTGTTTGCATTAGCAGTGAGATCCCTCACATCAAACCGAGTGCTCCTTTTTCTTTGCCAAGCTGTGTTAACAATAACCACAAAGTGATTTATTTCTGCCTCAAATGCTGCTCGGCACTAGGTGTACAGGGCAGGCAGCTCACGTTTGAAAAATAGTTGCTGAAGGGCACAGAATATCTTTCACAATGCCGAACATGTTGGATTTGTTTTCGAAGCCATCTTTTTTTTCCTGCCTAC